CAGACTCATCCTGTATCCCAAGATCAGGAGCCCTTACAGGGTACTATCAGCCGGGCCAGCTGAGCCCAGGTTTTTTAGTGAGCTTGTTACTGCTTCCCCTCCTCTTTCTTAAAATGAAAGAGCAAAAAATGTTTGATATTTTTTTTTTTACTTTTCCCAAGCACATGCGATGCATGCCAAGATAGTCATGGTGGGTAGCAAGTGACTGCTTTTACTGTAAGTGCATCACATATCTACACTTATAGAAATCAGTTCAACATTTGCTTTTTCAAATGTGTCAGAGATCCATTTAGTAACTTGCACTACTGGTGGAAATTAGAATTGATATCATATTTTTTTATTAAGGTGTATCCTATACTTTTTTCCAAAACTAAATATAAAAAAAAATTCTAAACACAAGGTAATAAGACCAAATCCAAATAAAATAAATAGTGTGTGGCGTTTCGGTAACAGCATTGTTACCATCTTCAGACAAAAGTATTGAATGATAAGTACTGAAATACCGAAACGTCACATACTATTTATTTATTTGGATTTGGCCTTATTACCTTGTGTTTATAATCTATAATACAAATTGTGCCTTATCATTAAACAAAATTCTGTTTAACAAATTTTAAAATGTTTATTTATCAATTGAAAAATCTATTTTGTTCCAATTTAAAATAAAATAGGATATTTTTCACATTTCATATATTTCTTGGAAACACTTATTGGGACTTATTCATCAGTGTAATCTACCTCTAATATTGTATTGGGCTTTTGTAACTCCAAGTACCTAATATACACAAGGTAATAAGACCAAATCCAAATAAATAAATAGTGTGTGGCGTTTCGGTAACAGCGTTGTTACCATCTACAGACAAAAGTACTGAATGATAAGTACTTTTTTTTTTTGCTTATCCCTAGTACACGTGGTACAGGCCATGATAATCATGGTGGGTAGTTAGCGACTGCTTTTTACTGTAAGCGCACCACATGTCTATACATGTGAAAGCAGTTCGACTTTGCACTTACAAATGTGCCAGAGCCCCGTTTGGTTACTTGCACTCGCTGGTGGGGTTGGACTTTTGCAAGAATCGGGGGGCCATTGGAGCATTTTTTTTTTTTTTTTTTAAACAGAAAAAAGTGTCCAATGCGGGTTCGAACCCGGGTCGTAGTGGTCGTAAACCAAACGGTTTAACCAGCCTTCCACCGACCCCCCATGATAAGTACTGAAATACCGAAACGTCACACACTATTTATTTATTTGGATTTGGTCTTATTACCTTGTGTTTATAATCTATGATCCAAATTGTGCCTTATCATAGTACTAATTATGTGATATATACTTTTCTTGAAAAGATGGTCACTGAAATGTCTGCATTAAAATACCCTCATGGAGACAAAACTTGAGGAAGTAGAAAGTCTTTGATGTCACCAGTCGTCTATTTTTTTGAAGAAGACAGAGACTGTTCACACTTGGTTATCTCATGTGTCTTCCAATAAAGGTCATTGTGTATTAAATATCTTTCAGAGTTAAATACAAGGTAAGAGTTATTGTCTGAATTCCGATATATATGCTAAAAGCTACAACGTCCTTAAGTTTTGTCCATGAGTGTATATAAAGGTCTTCTTCTTTCTTATCTCCACCCAATCATATTAGGGTATCAAGCTTGTAGAGCTTGTTGATGGTGTCTGCTGGGGATGAGTAGAGCTCATCAATGGATGAGTCAATACAGTCAAAAATGTGGCTTAGGGTTGCAGGTTGGCAGGATATAAAGGTTAATTTTAAAGACCAAGTTTTGGATAAGGCACACAATTTGGATTATAGATTATAAACACAAGGTAATAAGACCAAATCCAATTAAATAAATAGTGTGTGACGTTTTGGTAATAATGTTGTTAACACACAATTTATTTATTTGGATTTGGTCTTATTACCTTGTGTTTGAAGACCAAGTTTTATTTAGAACTTGGAAGTATAATGTCAAGGAAAGGGGATTTGTTCTGGAACAAGCTATACATGTCTAGAAGGGCCAGCAGAATGGGGCTACAAATACATTCACCACCAACTATCCAAATATTTGCTCCGTGGCCGAAGGAGTTTCTAAATTTAAAGCTATCAAAAACCTCGGGCACTCTTTCTCAGAAATCTCTTGTCCTTTCTTCCCAATCTATATATCCACTCATGAACAAAACTTAAGGAACACAAGGTAATAAGACCAAATTAAAATAAATAAATAGTGTGTGACATTTCGGTAACAGCATTGTTACCATCTTCAGACAAAAGTACTGAATATGAAATATGAATTGTCTGAAGATGGTAACAACGCTGTTACTGAAACATCACACACCATTTATTTATTTGGATTTGGTCTTATTACCTTGTGTTTATAATCTATAATCCAAATTGTGCCTTAACAAAACTTAAGGAAGTTTTACCTTTCAGCATGTATATCGGGATTCAGACAATAACTCTGAAATATATTACAGTGACCTTTATTGAAGACACGTGGGATAACCAAGTGTGAACAAAATTGCATCTGTCTCCTTCAAAAAAATAAAATAGATAACCTGCAGCATTAAGACTTTCCACTTCCATAAGTTTTGTCCATTTATGTATATTTGGACAATTTAAGTTGCTCCCAAACTCTTCAATACCACCCCACACTTTACAAAACATAAATTTGTGAAGTTTTTATCTCTTAACCACAGTTTTCTATTTCCTATTCTGATTTAGTGCAATCTGGATTATAGATTATAGAAACACAAGGTAATAAGACTAAATCCAAATTAACTACAAGGTAATAAGACCAAATCCAAATAATTAAATAGCTATTTAGTCTTATTACCTTGTGTTTATAATCTATAAACCAAATTGTGCCTTTATCAAGATCAAATCCAAATAATAAGGTGTGACATTTCGGTAGCAGTATTGTTACCATCATCAGACCAAAGAATAAATGAGGAAAAATATCACAGAATGTTCTTAAATAGTATTGTGATATTTTTTATCATTTTTTCTGATGGGAGAGAGATGGTAAGAATGCTGTTACCGAAACATCACACATTATTAATATATTTGGATTTGGTCTTATTACCTTGTAGTTATAATCTATAATCCAAATACATATATTGTGCCTTATCATTAAATCCAAATTAATAAATTGTGTGTGACATTTCAGTAACAACATTGTTACCATCTTCAGATGATTCACTATAAATGTCACACACTATTTATGTATTTGGATTTTATTATATTACCTTGTGTTTCAACTCCGCCTTTGCCGGTCCCAAGCCCGGATGAAAAAGGAGGAGGGGGAGCATTAACAAGCTCACTAAAAAACCTGGGTTCAGCTGGCCCGGCTGATAGTATCCTGTAAGGGCTCCTAATCCAGGGATACAGGATGAGCAGCGTTTGTACTCCATGTTAGGAGCGGCTGCACATGGCGTCTGTTCCTCATGTCAGAGGCGGCCATTTCTTTTGGAGCTAAGTCGGCCTGCCACTGAGTAGTGCTCCAAGTCTTAATGACAAAGTCAGACGCATTCTACTTCATCCAGTGTGGAGATAAGAAAGAAGAAGAAGAAGAAGACCTTGTGTTTCTATATTTGCTTGTTTCTCTAGTTGTGTAAATCCAAATTAATAAATTGTTTGTGACATTTCAGTAACAACATTGTTACCTTGTTACATTGTTATCTTCAGATGATTTACTATAAATGTCACACACTATTTATTTATTTGGACCTTGTGTTTCTATATCTCTGTTTGTTTCTCTAGTTGTGTTTTTGTGCAAATAAGATTTGAAGAAAGCCTCTATCATCCTTTGTTCAGGATTCAGAAATATTTGCATATCACTTTCTACAGAACCAGTTCCTTCTAGTGTACAAAAAAAACCAACTGGTGAGTGCTGAGAAGCAATCTCCGGTCTACATCTGACACTTATGAAAAAACCTTGACATCCGGGTCACCCGATAACCTTTGGCCTCAACTTTTGCAACATTTTTTTACATTTAACGTCATGGTTATCTATTTTTTTAATTGATTGCCAACCTAGATGGAGACATTAGTAGTGGTTCCTCAAAGTATCACTGTTTCTCTGGTTGTCGTAATTTAAGTGCAACACATTTTAATCTAATTTTGCATGTTTTTATTTCATTTACAGGTTTAAATAAATAGTGTGTGATGTTTTGGTAACAATGCTGTTACCGAAATGTCACACACTATTTATTTACACAAGGTAATAAGACCAAATCCAAATAAATAAATAGTGTGTGATGTTTCGGTAATAACATTGTTACTGAAACGTAACACACTATTTATTTATTTAGATTTGGTCTTATTACCTTGTGTTTCTATCAAGTATGTATTAATCTGTAATTTATTTATTTCAATTTAAAGCGCTATGTCCCCCTAGGGACACTTGTGCTGTCATACATGTATGACATTTGTCTATACATCTTATATATAAATTTTAAAAAATATTTTCTGCTTGTATTTAGATTATGTTGAGGTTTATGCCATGGAGTTATTTGCTGGGTTTTTTTTAGTACTAAATGGTATTGGTGATGCAGTCGTGGTTTAATCTTGAAAGTATGATAATAAAAATAATTTTAATCAGTAATTTAATTGAGTTAAAGGGATATATAAAAAAGACATAATTTTATAAAAGTAATGCCTGGCTTAAGGCGAGTAGAATAAGGAAAACAAAAGATTATTTACATAATGTACAAAAGTTTTGAGCCGGCCATTGGGATAAAACAACAACGAGTTTTCATAGGGGAAGAGTGACCTCTGGCGGTCGATTTAGCAGAGTATTTGAATCTATGAAATTATAATTTAAAATAAAATAATATTTTCATATAACATATATATATTTACAATAATTGAAGGCCGTAAAGAATAGTCATATGATATTAACAAGGAGAAAGAGAGAGAGGGAGGAAAATAAATGAGAACAGACAACTTTGTACAAAAGAAATGAATGTCTGGCAATATATTTACAATTAACATAATAATAAAGTGTCCAAGGATGGGAATCGAACCCACAGTGTTCCGCTTACCGGGCAGATGCCATGTCCACTAGGCTACCCTGGCACCAGGATTTCCATCCTTGGACACTTTAAATTAACATAATAAATTAGCATTTTCTTAAAATATATTTAATGCTATATAATTTGAAATATATGTATTAATCTGTGATGGAACACTAAACTGCTCAATGAAGATTTTTAAAATGCTATTCTGATTAAGACAATGTACACAAAGTAAACAGGAAGTAAATATTTTCTTCCCTCTTTTTTTACTGGTGACAGTTCTTGATTTTTTGTTTGTTTTTATTTTTTGTACAGTTACTCATTTCACCAGCTGGGGGTAGAATGATACCAAACACTCTGTGTTTATGACCCTAGCAATTGCTGGCAATGTTTTGTGGAATGGTCAGTTGTGCTATGAAGGCATGTTTCTTGGGGAAACTATTCTGAAAATATTTGTCAATCAATAAATTCACTCCACAACTTTTTTAATTTTTTGCATTAAAAGCTTCACAACAAATAAATAGTGTGTGACATTTCGGTAACAGCGTTGTTACCATCTTCAGACAAAAGTACTGATTGAGAAATTTTACCACAGCATGTTTTAAATAGTTACTGTTATCAAATGTGTAAACAAGATTACAGATAAGAAGAAGATAGTTATCTGAGAAACACAGAATATTATTCTTAGAATTAAAAGTCGAAAAAACCCAATTTTTTTTTTTTAGATATAAATATTATTAGATTATTAGATATAATTATTTTTATTATCTATAATACAAATTGTGCTTTATTATTTTATTATTGATGATAATAGCTTGAGAATTCATTTCAGTTATGCCATTAAAGTATTTTTTATCTATGCAAAAAATCATTCAGCAGTATGTAAAATACATATATATATTTTTAGAGGCAAGGTTTTAATGGATATACACTCATGGACAAAACTTAAGGAAGTTGTACCTTTTAGCATGTATATCGGGATTCAGACAATAACTCTGATTTTGATACACAGTGGCCTTTATTGAAGACACATGAGATAATCAAGTGTGAACAAAATTGTCTCTGTCTCCTTTAAAAAATAGATGAATGGTGACAAGTTTTGTCCTTGAGTGTATTTGCATAAACATTATCTAAACATTGATATATTTTTGAAAATATTCCAAATAAATACAATAGAAAACTCTTTATAAAGTATACCTAATTTCAAAGCCAAAGTGTCCTTTAGGGAGAGGTGTCCTCTTACCGGAGAGTTGCTAAATAGTAAAATTGGTATTTTGGCAACCTGTCCTTTGTAGAGAGGTGTCCTCTAGCAGAGTGTCCTCTCATAGAGGTTCTACTGTACAGTCAATCCTCACTTGAAAAACATCACTTGGGGCTAACAAGCTGTTATAGCCATGTTATTTACAAGGTACAATTTCAATTATAGATTGAAAATATAAAGTTAGCAAAATCAAATCCAAAGTAATGAAATGTTTGTGACATTTCTAATTGCATGGAAACCATGTAACCCTACACTCATGGACAAAACTTAAGGAAGGGAAAAGTCTTTGATGTCCACCAGTCATCTATTCTTTTGTGAGGAGACAAGGGCAATTTTGTTCACACTTGGTTATCTCAAGTGTCTCCAATCAAGGTCACTGTATATCAAATATCTTTCAGATTTATTGTCTGAAACCTGATATACATACTGAAAGGTACAACTTCCTTAAGTTTTGTTTCTCCATGAGTATGTTCCTCAATTACACAACAAACAAAAGAACATCCAATTTTCAAAAAAAGCAGATTTAATTTATGAAGTGAAACGTGAAAAGTGTGACCAATGCTATGTAGGACAAACATCCAAAACAAAAGCACCGGTTCTGTCCTCCCAAGAGAACAAGTCTTTGATTTCCAGACATAAGTCTGGTCATCTACGGACAATGACTTCCAGAATGGTTGCAGGGTTTTCCCACTATGTACTAAGTGCAATTCTCAGCCTGCAACCCCAAGACATATTATTGACTGTATTGACTCATCCATTGATGAGCTCTACTCTTCCCCAGTAGACACCATCAACAAGCTTTACAACTTGATACCTTAGTGTGATTGAGTGGAGATAAGAAAGAAGAAGAAAAGAAAGAATGAAAAACCATGAATATGCTCTAAAATGGGATAAAATAGAAAATGATGCACTTGAATTGAAAAGCCACTGGACATAATAATTTTTATTTAAAAGAAATACAGATACTAGAGAGAGAGAGAGAGACTAAGAAAAATTACTCTGAGAGACAACTCCGCCTTTGCCGGTCCCAAGTCGGGAAGGGATACAGGATGAGCAGCGTTTGTACTCCATGTTAGGAGCTGCTGCACATAGCGTCTGTTCCTCATGTCAGAGGCGGCCATTTCTTTTGGAGCTAAGTCGGCCTGCCACTGAGTAGTGCTCCCAGTCTTAATGACAAAGGCAGACGCATTCTACTTCACACAGTCATGATGGTTGTCAAACAAGCTTGATACCCTAATATGATTGAGTGGAGATAAGAAAGAAGAAGAAGAAGAGGACTCTGAGAGACAAATTAAAGAAGCCTTTTTTTCATTCAAAAGAGATGGGCTCTAATTAACAGAATGGAAGAAAGAGGAAATATTAATGATATTAGAAAATTAGTTATTTTCTTATCAGTTATCTTGTATATACAAATGATAACAGTACAGCCAACTATTTAAACCATTCTGAGATATTTTCTCTCAAGCCAGCCTTTCCCCACATCAACCCTCCTAGGAATAAGTATATTTACCCCATAACACCTGCAGAACATTCCCAAGTACAGTACATCTGGTAAACTGGATGTCCACCATTAGACTTGAAGATAGAGTTAGTGACTTTTGTACTTGGCTCCATAAATCCAGGTTAGATCAAGAAACAGAGAGAAATTTTATTTAATTCAGTACATTTGTCTGAAGATGGTAATAACACTGTACCCTGATAAGGCACAATTAGGGTTATAGATTATAAACACAAAGTAATAAGACCAAATTTGTTCCTGAACACTGTTCCCTGAAATGTAACAAACACTCCAATAATTAATTTTTAATTGTCAATTGTCACTCCAATAATCTGGATTTGGTGTTGCTACCTTGTTATGTTTCTAACCATGTTGTTGTTAATAAAGACAGTTGGGACTTAAACTTGGGACTTTAGAATTATAATGTTATAACTAAGTTTCTAAACACAAGGTAATAAGACCAAATCCAAATAAATAAATAGTGTGTGCGTTTCGGTAACAGCTTTGTTACCATCTTCAGACAAAAGTACTGAATGAGAAATTGTGCCTTATCAACTAAGTTTCTGTTATAACCAGGTTCCACTGCAAATATTTAGTTAACATTTATTCTGATAGGTGACACAAACCATCATCAACTTCATTTACACAACCAGGGATACCTTTTTTCTTAATCATACCACCTGATCTGATATTTTCCCTTTTATTTCAAAATAGACACTTTCCCCCTGACTTATAATTTAATAAAATCAATAAAGCATCCAGGAAGAGGAGTAGACCTCTAAAAATCCCGAGTTCAACTGACCCGGTTGATGGACCTCAGCAAGGGTCCCACTCCAGGGATATGGAGAAGCTGTGTCTGTGTACTCATGTTAGAGTCGGCAGCAAATGCTTCCATGTTAAGAACGGCCTCAAATTACAAGCAAAGTCAGACTTTCACCAAAATGTGCCTGGATCATGGTGCCATGATCAACGAAAGCTGCACCCCTATACCCCATGAGATAATGGAATTCATGTAATCTTTACACAAGGGATAAGAAACAACAACAATAAAGCATCCAGGGCAAAGTTTCTTGTACAATTTTATTTCTTCAGCCTTTGGGCTAATAAGCCCTTCAACAGGAGCAACTATAACTTCTATGGCTTATATAGTTAGCTGGAAGTTATACTCCTAGTTACTTCTGTTGAAGGGCATGTTATCCTGAAAGCTAGAGGAATAAAATTATCAAAATTCGAAACTATTTTAAGGCTTAAGATTATTTTTGAAATTAAACAATTTCTACTGCCCTTACTGCAATGGAAAAATTAAAGGGAGGGTTCAGTGGTGAACCCTCCCAGCGGTTTCGCCAGTTTAATCTACCATACCGTTGTTATATTTTCCATTGCAGTAAGGGCAGTAGAAATTGTTTAATTTCAAAAAGAATCTTACGCGTTTAAAATAGTTTCGAATTTTGATAACAGATGGTGCGCAAGTGCATAGAAATAAAATTGTTTAAGAAACTTAACACTGGGTGCTTTATTTATTTTATCAAATTTTTCCCCTTTGTTCTCTCTATCTCTGTCTCCGTAGTTTTGTCAATATTTGGTGGAGGTATGCTGTTTGTTCCAGCCTTCACACCAGTTCTTGTAGGTTTCACTTTGCCAAAACCTCTTTAGGGTTCAGGAAGAGCACTTCTTTGCTTGATCTACTACAGTATAGAATGTTAATTCAAGTTTGAAGACTTCACCAACCTTTTTATAAAAGTTTATTGTTCTTTTGATCACAAGGTAATAAGACCAAATCCGAATAAATAAATAGTGGATTTGGTCTTATTACCTTGTGTTTATAATCTATAATCCAAATTGTGCCTTATCAATTGTTCTTTTGATGTTTCAGTGACCCACTGTCACCTTTTTCAAGAAGTGGAGAGGTTATTAATAAAGTATTGTCTAATCTGTTAATGAAGTATGTAGGCACAGTTGTGAAGTACTACCCAGGTGGTAGGTTTGCTCTAACCTGGTTGTCTGCAAGTTTAGTGGTGCTCATTGTTGAATTTTCTTTTTGGGGCACCAGATTTGGCTAGGGTATCAGCCTTTTCTTTTACTTCTTTGTTATCTCCACTCAATCATATTAAGGTATTAAGCTTGTAAAGCTTGAGATTGACAACCATTATGACTGTGTTAAGTAGAATGTGTCTGCCTTTGTCATTAAGACTGGGAACACTACTCAGTGGCAGGCCGACTTAGCTCCAAAAGAAATAACCGCCTCTGGCATGAGGAACAGATGCCATGTGCAGCCGCTCCTAACATGGAGTACAGACGCTGC